ATGGAGGAGTCAAAACGTTCTAAAGAGGAAGTCTTTACCTTGGTGAAATCCCAGAGTGACTAAAATATCAGACTAAGTAGATACTTACTAGAGTAAGTACAGTGAATCAGGGAGTACAGGTATAGTGATCCTCGTTTTACAGGTGAGGAAACTGAGGCCCAGAGATGTGAAGTGATTTGCCCAAGATCTACTAAGTGCCAGTCCTGAGATTCAAACCCAAGTTTCCTGGAGTTTTTAAAGGTATAGAAATTTACAAAAACAGCTCTAAAGGCAGGGATGAATTGGGACTGCCTCTGTTGGGACTGAAAGGCAACTCTTTGAAATACTGTTTTTTTTGCTCCCTGGGGAAACATGAGCTGAGAGCTAAGGAAGAACAAAGACAGAGAAACAGCCTGAAAAGCATTCATGAAGATGGAGGAAAGTTTGCTGTGAATCTGAAATGGCAAAACCTGGAAACAACCTGATCCTCCACCATCACCCCAGTGGAGAGGCAGTGAAAGCTTTCCTAATGGGAAAAGCAGATGTGATTGTTGATCCGCCTAGGGGGATGATTTAATGGGACGAGCATTTCTAGTGTTCAGGGGTTTGTGGGAAGAGAGGCAGCTCCTGCCCAAGAGCTGCAGATGCTTTTAACATGTGACTCTGAAAAGGAGAGTGACCCTTTAACAGCCGCCTCAAAGCCTTGCTCAGGTGCTGAATGATGGCATCCTAGGAGGAGAGTTTTGATTGGCCATCTGAGACACGAAATCAATCAATCCATCCACGAGCACTTATTGGGCACCTGTCATGTGCAGATCACTGTGATGTTTTCTGGGGATAGAAAGACAAAAATTTATCAGTGCTTATACCCAAGAATCATACAGTCTAACTCATGGAGACATGAATGTATGCAGTCATTCTTCCAGAGTGAGGTCAGTGACCACCCCTTTCACAGTTCTAGGAGTACCAGGTTCCAGGAGAAGAGAGGAAATTCTCATCAATACTTTTCATCCTCATAGAATCCTTGACTTGGAAGGAATATTAGATAGATAGATAGATAGATAGATAGATAGATAGATAGAGAGAGAGAGAGAGAGAGAGAGATAGATAGATAGAGAGATTGATTGATTAATGGAGGGATGAATAGATAGATGAGTAGGTAGATAGATAAATGGATGGATTGGATGGATAGGTAGATAGATGGATAGATAGATAAGTAGGTAGGTAGATAGATAAATGGATAGATGGATGGATTGAAGGAGAGATAGGTAGATGAGTAGGCAGACAGGTAGATAAATAGAGCACTTACTATGCACTTACTACATTCCTGTCATTGTGCTAAGAGCCAGAGATACAAATAAAAGCAAACAAAGACAGTTCCTGCCCTCAAGGAGTTTACATTCTAATAAAGGAAATCAACACAGCCCAAGTTGTGTTGCCAGAAAGGGGAGGAGAAAAAGGGGACAATGCCCCAGGTGAAATGTAGCAGACATCATCTCAGAAGAAGGAGACGTTTTTTGTCAAGAGTAATGTGAAGCATTGTTAGGGTCCTTCTAAAAACTATTAGGCCAAAAAAGGAGTCACCATTGAGGAGAGAATGGCAGGTGGGAAATGTTTATCTAGGGCAATTGACTTGCCCAAGTTCATGCAACTAGTCCGATAATAATTTTTTTTCGGAGGGGGGAATCTCAAGTTCTCTCTCTCTCTCTCTCTCTCTCTCTCTCTCTCTCTCTCTCTCTCTCTCTCTCCCTCCCTCCCTTCCTCCCTCCCTCTCCCTTCCTCCTTTCCTCCCCTCTCTTTCTTCCTCACTTTCTCTCTTAAAAATTTACTATCTTATTTTTACCTCACAGTGACTTCCCAACATATTTCTTCCTCATTCCACCAAGAAAACTATCCTTATAACATGAAAGAAAAAAGAAAAAAAATGAGTAAAATTGGCCAGCTCATCAATCAAATACACCAATGTTTGCAATGTTCTAGCTTATAGTACATAACTCTACCTTTGCAAAGAACAGAGGAAAATGCATTCTCATAGGTCTTATTTGTGTTCCAGCTTGATCATGCCTATAATGTGGGTAACCACTGGCATTCATATAGCACCTTAACATGTGAAGAACATTTTGCATATATTATGTCATGTGACTCCTGTGAGGTAGATGCTATTGTTGTCTTCATTTTTACAGGTAAGGAAACTAAAGCTCATAGAGGTTAAGATACTTGCCCAGGGTCACCTCACTGGAAAATGATGAAGGTGGGATTGGGACTGCAAGTCTTGCTATTCCAATTTTTTTCCTTTCCTTTACTTCCTCCACTTTTTCTGCTATAGATCTCACTCATTAAAATAGATGAGCAAATAAATCCCTTTGCCCTGGTAAGTGATAATATGGGAGGTAAGTAACTCCCTCTATGGTCACAACCCAGTGCTAAAGGGCCATGGGGTTCCATCCAAATATAGGCCAGTTAGTTTTTCTCTGTTCTGTGGCCAGACTTTACCCATGATCCATGGCAGTTGTCTATCTATCTATCTATCTATCTATCTATCTATCTATCTATCTATCTATCTATCTATCTATCTATCTATCTATCTATCTATCTATCAATCTATCTGTCTGTCTATCTTAATCTATTTATCATCTATCCACCTATCTATTCATCCATCCATCTATCTATCTATCTATCTATCTATCTATCTATCTATCTATCTATCTATCTATCTACCTGTCTATCTACCCATCCATCAAGCTACCTATCTGTCTATCTATCTATCTATCTGTCTGTTTGTCTGTCTGTCTATCTATCTATCCATCCATCTATCTATCTCTCCATCTATCTATCCTACTTGGTTGTAAGAGGAGGAATGGATAAGATCCATGGTGAATCCATCTCCACTACGAGACATAACTTGACTCTTTGATAGTGAGTCACTAGGGTACATAGGATCAAAGCTTTTGGACTTGGAAAGGACCTCAGAGGCCATCTATTTCAAACCCCTGATTTTACAGCAGAGGAAACTGAGTCCCAGAGAGGTTGGGTGACTTGTCTGTGGTCTGACATCTAGTAGATGGTAGCTCTAGAAGCCTGGTCATCGGACTCTATCTTCGAAGGGAAAGACTTTCTCTTAGCTCTTGCTAACTGCTGTGACCAGGTAATGGGTGGCTGTGGCCCTGTGCCCTGGACCCAGCGAGTGGGCATGTCAGGGGTAAGTCTGAGTCCTGGGGGAAGATCTCAAGCTAGACCAATGGGCACAATTGCTGGGCAGAATCGGGGAGGCAACAGCATACTCTTTCAATTCCCAATTTTTAGGGGACGAAACAGAGCCTTGGAAAGAACTTGAAAGAAAAAACGAGAGGAAGTAACCGTAGTGCTCACCATTTAGCTGGGCTGGAAGACCAAGGGAAGGGAGGGAACAAGCATTTATTATGCACCTACTATGTGTGAGGTACTGCGCTAAACCCTTTACACTTATCACATCATTTAATCCTTCCAGCAATCCTAGGAGGTAGGTGCTATTATTATACCCATTTTACAGTTGAGGAAACTGAAGCAGGAAGTGGTTAAGTGACTTGCCTAAGATCACACAACTATTAAGTATCTGAGGCCGGATTTGAACTCAGGTCTTCCTGACTCCAGACCTAGCACTTTGCCCTGTGGTCCTCCCACCCCCACCCCAGCTGCCCTGGGTTACAAGCTCCTTATTGTCCTTGTTATTAAACTTATTTGGGAAAACAGGCCCCCAAGTAACACAAATATAGGCAGTGCCCTTCCTTCTATTTTGCAATCGATGTTCCTCAAGAACAAAGGACAAACAACAACGACAGATTATTCCTTACAATTAAATCCTGCCCTGATCCCTGCGTCCCCCGTGGTGGCCACTGTGACCCTGTCTCCCCTACGGTGGCACCCATGCACCACTTCTTGTTTTCTTTGATGTCTTAGATTTGGATACCACAGTTACTTTCCAATACCCCCGGATCCTGGATCCAGAGCTGGAAAGGACTAGATCTAATGGAAGCCACCCATTTTACAAATGAGGAAACTGAGGCCCTGGGAGGTTAAAGTAATTTGCCCGAGTCTACAAAGGTGATAAAGGTCAGAGGTGGGATTTGAACCCAGGTCCTCTGGCTCCAGAGGCAGTGTTCTTTCTTGAATTTGCCACAGCCATAGCACCCTCTCTCATGTCCAAAGTCAGGTTATACTTGGAACAAAGAGGAATAGCATGCCTAGCAGGGTAGGCAATATTCTACACCTGTAGTTCTCCGCCTCTTGCTCATCCTCTGCTTGGCACCCAGTAAGTGCTTCATAAATGCTTGTTGACCATGCACCAGCTTTCCAGGTTGGATCCAAGTCTTTGTTAAGGAGGGATTCTGAAAGTAAAACCTGAAACAGGATCAGGGAAACTGAAGAGGGGCTTCCTGAAGGTTGGACACTAGACTTGACAATTGCTTCCAGGTCTTGATAAAGGGTTCCTGTCAGATGTAGGTTGGACGAGACCTCCAAAGTCCCTTCCAACTCTGGGATTCTGGGACGGGGTAGCTAAATGACTTTCTTTTTGTTTAAATACATTTTTTATTTATAGCTTTTGTTTTGATGCCACATACCTTTCTGACAAGTTCCCTCCCTTCATCCCTTCCCAGAGAGACATTGCTTATAATAAAAAAAAAAAATTTTAAAGAAGAAAAAAAGTTCAGTAAATTAACCAATATATTGAAAAAGTCTGATGTTATAGGTAATTTTCTGAATCCATAGTCGCTCCCCTTTGCAAAGAAGGGAGCATATGTGTGTGCATGTGTGTGTGTATGTGTGTGTATGTGTGTGCATTTGTGCGTGAAATGAGTCTTTTTCTGTTTCTTCTCTGGGGCCAAGCTTTGTTATTCCAGTTTCTGTTTCATTTTTTTTTGTGGTTGTTGATCATTTTACTCACCTTGTATTCATTGTTTATAGGTTTCCTGGTTCTGCTGAGTTCATTTTGCATCAGCTTATATAAACCTCTCTTTGAAAACAAAAAGTTTTATTGACATGTTTTGTTTTTACATTATAAACATTTCCAGATAACCCCTACTCCATAAGAAGTCCCTTGTAACAAAGAAAACAATTAAGCAAATCTAACAACTCAATGACCACATCTCCCATCTGTAGCATGTCTACTCTCTATTTTTAAAAGATTTTAAAATTAACATAAATCTATTTTCTCTTTCTCCCACCCCCAACCCTATTGGAAAAAAAAGGGAAAATAAAAGCAAATTCCTTGTAACAAATATATCTATAATCAAGCAAAACAAATCCCCTCACTGACTGTATACATCTTATTCTGAACCCTGAATCCATCATCTCTGTCAGGAGATAGATGGTATGTTTCATTATCAATTCCGGTGATCATGAATGTTCATTGTATTGACCATAGTTCTTACAGCTTTCAAAGCTGTTTGTCTGTTCTCCTGGTTCTGCTCATGATCCTCTATCTCCATCAATTATTGTTTCTTATAGTACAATATGGTATCATTCCATCCCACGCATGTTTAACCATGCCTAAGTTGATGGTCATCTACTTTGTTTCCAGTACCTTGTTAACACAAAGAGTTCTACTCTGAGTATTTTATTTTATATAGGGTCTTTTTTTCTTCATCGACTTCTTGGGGGTACGTGCCTAGCCATAGAATATCTAGGTCAAAGGGTGTGGACATGTAAATGGCTTTCTAACAGTTTAAGATATTTCTGCTTATAAAGGGGATGCTGCATTTCTAGAAAGTATTATATATTTGCTGCATAATTTTTAAGTCCGTAAGTTGAGAGTGATATACCTTGTGGTACCACTCTTCTAAAAACTACAGTTCACAAGCCCCTACTAGTGTACTGCCCATTAACAATCAGCCAGGGAACTCAATTAGCTCTTAGCAAAGGCATTCACTTAAATGTCAGAGCAAGAACAAATAGATACAAAATATCCACCTCCTCTTAAACCTAGGATACATTCTTCCACAAATACACATAGCACCCACCCATGAAAGGAAGGGGTTCAAGCTTAGAGTGTAGGATACACTTGGGGCAAAGGCAACTCACAAGTCCTGTGTTACAGGCCCTGGAAGTAATTTTTCCTCTTTAAAGTCTTCATCCTGGGTTCCCGGGGTCTGCCCCTTTCCATAACTTAACTCTGAATTGCCAGGGGTCATATTCCTTGAGGTTATTTCCTCTTTGGGGTATCTGTTCCTCTGGAGCCATGTCTGTCTGTCTGTCTCTGCTTCCAGATGGATGCGTGATCTCCTTAGCTACCCAGCCAAAATATGTGGGGTATGGATGAGAGAAATTCCCTCCTCTCCTCCACATGGCTTCCAGTGTTTCCATCTTTCAAATTTAAACAGCTACATGACTTGATTCTTTAACTATGTAGGCCCAAGTACATGACTGATTCAGCCAATCACTAGATGTGTCATGTAGTGACAGTTCCCTTTATGCCCTAGCCAAAAGCTTATAATACAGTCAGATTGTTTAAGAAAGTTCTTCATACATTGTTGTGTGGTTATATGAAAATTTCTCAACAAACCCTTTATACTCTTTCTTTATTTACCTTGTGATTATTTTCTGGACTTTCTGTGACTCTGTCCGTGGGTGAGTGGGGGGGGGGAGGGTAGAGACCACATTCTTCATCACTTCCGTAGGTATTCTAGCACCTGGGGAAAATGGACTTGCAGGGCCCTAGCATATGTTGCAAGGGTTGTGGGACAGAGTTAAAGAGACCCTCCCCTGTCCCAGGGCTCCCTGGGGTTCCCCGTAGGAAGGCTGGCTTGTGCGTGTCTCATAAGATATGTGTCGTCGGGTCTGGCAGAATGGGGCGAGTTCTTTGCCCCATGTGGATGCAGTCACATCAGCCCTAAGAAAGGGCTATGCCAATGACAGTTAAGATAGCCTGGGGAGAAATGATGATTCAGGGGACCAGTAGAGGTCTTGAGAGAGAGATGGACTCTGTAATGTAAGACGAGTAGGGAGAAAGTGCAGGCAACCACCGCCCCCAACATTGTCCTTCCCTAGTTCTGCTTCTTTTCTGATGAGTCCACTGGTGGAATTGTGCGTTCTGAGTTCCCAGCAGCTGCCTTCCTAAAGGACTTTTGGAGCAAATGTAATTTGGGCGGGGGGGGGTAGTCTGGGCTGTAAAAAAAATATCAATGTCCATTTCTATAGCTCTTTAAGGTTTACAAAAACCTTCCCATTTCCCATCACTGTGCCTTTGTCCTGGCTGTCTCTCATGCCTGAAATGCACCTCCTTGCTGCTCGTAGAATCCCTGGCTTCTTTCCAGACTCAGCTCAAGCTCCAGCTTCAACAGGAGGTCTCTCCTGGGGTCCCTCACCCCCCAGCTGTCAGTGACTTCCCCTCTGAGGTCACCTGAGGTTACTTCTTGTGGATCGCATATGTGCTTATAGATGCACGTCATCCTTCCCACTAGAACATAAGAAACTTGACTTTTGTCTTCGTATCTCCAGGACCTGCCACACAGCAAGCACTTAATAAATACTTATTGCTTTACTGAGTGATTGATTAAACAAGGAGGCAGCAAGGGCCAGTAGAAAGTAGCTGAACCTGCAGTCAGAGGACCTAGGTTAGAAACCAACTGTGCTGCTTACTACGGCCTTGGGCAAGTCACTTTTCTGTAGGTCTCAGTTTCCTTATCTATAAAATGAAGGGGTTGGGTTAGATGACCTCTCAGGGCCCTTCCAACTCTAATGATAATTCTGTGAGGTTGGTAATCCAAGTCTTATTAGCCCCATTTTATAAGTGAGGAAACTGAGGACCAGAGACTCGCCTACTAAATGCAGGAGCTAGAATTAGAATCCAGGTCTCCTGCCTCTAGGACCATTGGTCCTTTGACTATATTGCAGATCTTGGGAATCAGAGGACTTGGAGCTGGGGTGGATTTTTGGGTTTACGCATTCTAATTTCATTTGAGAGATGGGGAAACTGAAGTCCGGAAAAGGGAAGTGACTTACTCAAGGTCCCACAGGCACTAAGATTCTTTTCCAGTTTCATTTCTCTTCTCTCTTGTCGCTTTGTCCTGCGGTTAAAAAATACAATAGGGTTTAAAATGGGGGGAAATAAAGTTGTCAGGTGTCTGGGAGACACATAACAGTTTCAATTTGTGACTAATAGGGAAAAGATTGTGGCTTTGGAGGATGCAATTTCGTCCATTTGCAGGAAATCATTTTCACTTAGCGTGATTTGCTGTTTCTTGATACCAGCTGTTTCTGGTCTCAGGGGACAATCCCTGATGCTGTCCCGTTAGCCCAGTATAGTGTTCTCTGCCTGAAGAGACAAGTAACTTCTGCAACACAAAAAAAACATAGAACTTGGACCTGGAAGACCCAGGCTTGAGTTCTGGATCTGTGTGACCCTAAACAAATCACTTTTCCTCTCTGAGACTCATTTTCTTAATCTGTAAAATGGGTGTAATAGTACTTACACTACTCATCTCAAAGGATTGTGAGGAACTCACTTTGTAAACTGTAGAGTGTTATAGAAATGTGAACTATAATTATTAGCCCATCATATAGAGTCTATTGGGGTGGGGAAAGTCTAGTTTTTCCATCCTGCTTTAATTCTATGAGAGGCAATATGATATAATCTATAAAGAGCCAGCCTCATCACCTGACTAGTGGCCATAAGAGGATGCCTAAGTGGGAAGTGCACTACCCCCAGAAGCTGATGAGGTGCACTAGGCATCAGGCTTCCTTCATGTGACTGGGCTAGTGGAGGAGCTCATCTCTCATGGGGTAGGGAATGGTTTTCTCCCATTGGCTGCCCTAAAATTGGATTGATGAGATGGCCCCTAGGCCTTCTTTTGGTTAGCAATAGCATAGTAAGTGTCTAATGAACACTAACAAACATTTATTAGGTGCTTACTATGTGACAGGCATTATTCTAAATGCTGGGAATACAAATAAAAAGTGAAACCACAAATAAGTCCCTGTCCTCAAAGAGCTTCCATACTAACAGGGAAGGCAATCTATAAATAGGTACATACAAGATGCAGATGTAGTAGAAGGAAGGTGGCTTTAGAAGAGAAAGCTCGAGTGGCTGGTGGTACTGGGAAGGCCTCCTGCAGAAAGCAGGATTTGAGCTGGGTCTTGAAAGAAGCCAGTGGTATCGAGAAGGACAGGTAAAAGGGAGAGCCAGTCCAAAGGTATCCATCTGGACCATGCTTTGTTGTGTGTGAGGAGCAGCAAGGGGGCTGGTGTCCCTGAAACAGAGTGTGTGGTCGGGGAGTAAAGGATGCGAAGACTCAAAAGAAGAGGGTAGATTGTAAAGACCCTTGAATGCCAAACAGAGGACTTTATATTTGATCCCGGAGGTAATAGATCAAATGAAATAGTGGTTATAAAGTGCTTAGTATAGTGCCTGGCATATAGTAAGTGCTTTAGAAATATCAGCTGCAACGATGATAATAAATAGGGAGACACTGGAGTTTGGTTGAGCAGTGTGTGTGTGTGTGTGTGTGTGTGTGTGTGTGTGCGCGCGTGTGTGTGTATATGTGTGTATGAGAAATGACCAGATTTGACCATGAGGAAAATAACGTTGGCAGACAGGTAGGGGAACCCAAAGAAGGCATTGTCATGGAAGCCAGGGAGAAGAGGGTGATTAATAACCCGGAGGAGAGGATGATTGACAATGTCACCGGCTCCAGAGATGATGACTGAGATAAGTCCTTTTGTCGAATGGACTGGTAAGATAGCCTGGAACTTGGAGACAGCGGCTGGAGTGGAGAGGCGAGGTCACAAGGCAAATTGTGTCTGCTGGGCAAGTGAGTGGGAGGAGAGGGAGTGGAAATAGAGGCTGAATTCAAATGTCTCTTTCTAGGAATTCTTGTTGTGAAATGGAACAGGTATTGAATGACAGCTTGTAGACATGACAGGGCCAAGTTCAAGGGCTTTGTTGTTGTTTTAAAGGCTAGAGGAGACCAAGGTACCTTTGGAAGAAGCAGGGAAGGAGTGAGTACGGAGCGCTTAGGGTGATGGAAGGATGCAAGCAAGAACACAAGTAGAGGGGTTAGTCTTTTTTTTTTTTTTTTTTTTTGGGTGAGGTGATCAGGGTTAAGTGACTTGCCCAGGGTCACACAGCTAGTAAGTGTTAAGCGTCTGAGGCTGGATTTGAACTCAGGTCCTCCTGACTCCAAGGCCAGAGCTCTATCCACTGCACCACCTAGCTGCCCCCCTTGGGGCAGGAGAAGGGACATATTTTCCTTCTAGCCTAGAGAAAAGGGGAAGAAAATAGGAGAAGACGTAGAGGGATTATGAGCTATTGAGTAAGGGGGAAAGAGAGCTCGTGGTATTTATTAGGTGCCCACAGAAGATGATAAGGTTCACTAGGCATCAGTCTTCCTTCATGCGGCTGCACAAGGCAGAGGAGGAAGGAATGGGGGCAGACGAGTTTCTCCCATTGGCTGCCCTAAAATTGGACTCTGTTATTCTACGTTCCTTAACCTCTATTTTATTTTTTAAATAAAATGTTATTGATTTCTTGTTTTTATAACATCAGTATACCCCCTGTGCCTCTCCCCTTCCCCTACCAAAGTTCCTGCCCTTATAATTTTTTTTTTAAGAAAGAGAAGGAAAAAAAATCAGTAAAATGAATTGATACACCAAAAAAGAAAATCTGACATCATATACAATGTTCCACACCCATGGACCCTCCACCTGCGAAGGAGTGAGGATAGGTGACAATCTCTATTTTCTCAGTAAAGTAGAAGGCCAAGTCTTCTACTGAGAAAGAATAGGGAGGGAGGGACTTAAGGGTTGGAGGGGAATGTTTAGAAGAATCACTGAAGAGAATGGGAGAGAGAATCGTAAAGAGAAGTATAAAAGGATTGCCATGTAGCAAGGAGAGTGCATTTGAAATTGCATTACATAAATGTGAACCCATCTGGCACTATTTCATGACTTTCTCCCATGTTGTTCAGCAGTGCATGAATGGGAATGGAGAAGGTCAAGGGTGGGGCTAAGCCAAGGGTGGGATATGACCAAGAATTAGTGGTGATAGTATATGGAGAAAAAGGATTCAAATATATGGGAGGCATATGATTAAACTGGTCATTATTGCAAAGGGAAGAAAGTGAGACCAGATGAGGGTGATTATACATCGTGAAAAGGAATAAAATGAATAAAAAAGCTAGATGTACTGCCTCCATCCTTAGATGTCCATGACCACATAGGCACAAGAGATATTCCCAATGGGCCCCCCCCAAACTCATCAGGAACCTAACAGCTGCTCTGTCTCACCCATGTTAGGACTCAAAGGCCGTGGAACATGCATCCTTGCAGGTACTGCTGAATAAAAGTGAAATGTAAGTGTATGCATAGGTTATTTCCACATTAGGGGGAACTCATTACCTAAGTACCATAGATCTAGTAGAGACTGTCAGAAACCTTTCAAGCCAACCTGCTTCATTTGAGAGATGAGGAAACAGAGACACAGATGTCAAGAGCCATACCCAAAGTCATACAGATAGTGAAGTGTCACAGGTAATCACCCACATTTGAACCTACATCCTTTGACTCTAGACACAGTTCTCTTTCTACTATACCAACTGAATAATCAGCCCACAAACATTTATTAAATGCTTTCTGTGCATGAGGGACTGTGTAGATCTTTCTATTGAGGGTGAAAAAGATTGATCATCTACTTGGCTTGCCTGGGCACAGTTTAACATCATGTTAGAGTGTAAACGTCTAAATTCACATTATTTCTAATACAAAGTGGTAACAGAATTCTAACAGGCAGCTAGAAGATGCAATGGATAGAGCTTTGGGTCTGAGTTCTGGCCTCAGATACTTACCATCTGTATGGCATTAGGCAAGTCATTTAACCTCTTTTTGCCTCAGTTTCCTTATCTGTAAAATGGGAATAATAATAATAGTATCTACCTTCAGAGTTGTTGCAAGGATAAAATGAGATATTTGTAAAGCACATCACAAACCTTAAAGCACTATATAAATGCTATTTATTATTATTATTATTATTATTATTGGCTCTGAACACTAGTGACCATTACCACCAGCCAAGACATTGCCTAGGAATTGCTCTTGAGGAGGGGGAGAGGGTAGTCAAGAATACTGGCTGTTTTAAGGTAGGCACCTTTCGATATGGTAGACAAACCAAGCACGGAAGATCAATAAACTCATTTGCCCAATCACCTTTTGGCCTTGAGCAATCCCCCACAAGGGCTGAGATGTTGCACCTGTAGTCTCTTGGCCATAGGAATTGAAGGTTGACTCAAGGCAACCACCCTTACTACATACACCTAGGAAGGAGAAGGTTAAGTCATGGAGGTGACAAATGAGAAGTTAAATTTGAAGAGTAGTAAGTACATCAATTTGGCTAGAATGTAATCTGTGTGATGGGCTGTAACATGAAATACCCAGAAAGGTAGATGGAATCCGGACAGTGGGAGAGTTATAAAAGACAGGTGAAGTCAGGGAGCTTCTGCTGGCTGCCCTTAGTTATGTATGGTAACCCTTGTAGGCCCTGGGAAAGTTAAGATCCAGGGAATAAACCAAGGGGCAGCTAAGACTGGCACCGCTCCCTGTGATTCAGCCAGGAGTGATTCTAGATTCCTCAGTAACTGAGAAGGGGCACAAATGATGAACAGTCATCACCCCTGTGTCCAGCTCAGGCAGGGTCAACACCCCTGGGGACACTGGCTCAGCCACTCATTTCCCCAAGAGCAATGATCAGATATACCATGGAGGGCAAAGGAAAGGTGTCTAGTTGGATGGAGATCTACTTTCTGTCTAATATGCGTGGGTGTCCTCCAAGGTGCTGATCTGCCTTGCTATCCTCTCTCTGTGATCACATCAGCTCTCATGAGCTTAGCTATTACCTACTGAATAATTCCACCTCTCAAACCCAATATGCCCTAAACTGAACTCATTTTTCCCCTTCAAACTCCTTGCCCTGCTGAATTTTCTTTTTTCTTTTGAAGTTCCCACCATCCTTGTAGTCTAGTCATCCAGGTTTGGGGTTCTCGGTCCTTTCTTCTTTCTTACTCTTCCTACTTGGTCT